AGTGAGGAAATTCGAGTAGTTTTGATCCAGAAAGCGAAATTTGAATATCAAACACTTAGGTTCACGATTATGCCAAAATTTCATGTTTTCCGTCCCGTTTTCGCTCATTTCTCGGAGGCAAAATGAACAAGAACGCTCATTTGTACGTCATTCTAGAGAGAAATAAATGGCCTTTTTAGCAAGTGAACCATGGATGGAAAAATGTTGGCAGTTTTCTCAAAAAAGGCTTAAATTCAAGAAGTTTCAGATTTGCGTGGTTTTTTTTTTGAGTTGCAAAATCCACTTGAACATGACGCTGCTTTTTTCGAAGTTTCTCAAGAACCATTCGAGCCACAGAATTCGTTTTGGCATCGTTGGATAGAGAATTGAATGGGATCCCCCCCTGGATCCGCCCTTGTTCGCAGCGTTAATTTTTTATGATTATACAACAAATAGTAAGCTACAGCAAGAAGACTTTTTTATGTATATCTGTCTTTTGTAAGTATATAGAAAAACGTTTCAGTCCCATATTGTTTCAAATGTTAATTTCTAACTTCCAAAGTGACAGAAGCAAAAATATATTCTATTTAAGAGTGCGCAAAGTTTAAAAGAACGTATCTCTCCTAAGCCGTTAAAAATACAAATCAGTAGTTAAGACCTTTTCGATAGCTCATCTGGAGAACTGACTTTCACTGATTAGGGTTCATCACAAACATCCAAAAGGAAGAAGCAAAAATAATGAATAAATAAACATTTGGAGTAATTTACAATTCGGAAACGGCCGAAAACATTTGTAGAGCAGTGACAACTATTTCCGTAGAGACCTTCGAAAATATAGACCCAAATTCTGATAAAACTCCAATAGAATTACCTCCAGTACTTTAAGGCATCCACTAGCACAAAGTCCGTAGTATCGCCTCCAGTGCAAACGTAATGATCCAAATAATTCCAGTTGTAGTGCTCCAGCTTCTCAGTTGTAAAGGTGGCATATGATTCTTCGTATGTGTCGTGGTATGGGGCATGGAACCGGTACCTATACTGATAGTTGAAGCCTGGATATGGATGCCTTAAAGAAGAACCATTCCTAGACAAAGTCAATAAAAATCACACTTGCTTACCTCGGTCTATACCGCGTAACGGAAATCGTATTTCCCGATAGGGAAATCTTGTGAAACAGCCTCCCAATGGACAGAAAGTACATCTCATCGTTATCCGTCGGACTCTTCCTCATCAAGTTGCTTCTCAATTGGCCTGACTGCACGTTGGGTCCCTTTTCCTGCTTGCGTGGTCCCATGACAATCAACTGAAAACCTTGAGCCAGTCTCTGAGAAATCAGCTCCTTGAACACTTCATCGGTGCTCAGAGGCTTCTTGTAGGTGCCGCGAGGCTGGGCAAAGTCCGCGTAGACGCTGTCTGGAACCAAGCTGTACAACGACACCACATAGTCCGTATGCAAGGTCCGTTTGTCCGGGAAATAGTCCGTAGTGATGGGCAAACAGGCTGGTATAGTCAAAGACTTCCAATCGACTCCTATAGATTAGAGCCAGGAAAGGCAAACATTAATGCCTTGAAGCGATTCAGCTCAAGATCTACAGAAGAGATTACTTTCCAGATGGTGACATGCGGATAAGTGTTAAAGAGGCTCTAAAGCTCGGCTAGTCTACTTTCTCCTTTGAGACTATTTTTACAGTGCTTCTACAAATACAGGTCAGAAGAGGGGATATGCAACAGGAAAACTACACATTTAAAAAAATATAAATGGAGTTCAAATTTAAAGAGAGGCACTGGACCAGAACCCAAAAATTCTAGTGTTGGGAATTACTATACAAATAGAATCAGCCCTTAGTTATTTTTCATTAGTTAAAAACATACAAAGTATTTCCTCTTAACTCCTTTCTTTTATTATTCTTACTTCTTACACCTTATGATTTGGAAAAGTCTCTAAATGGGACGATCATCCGACACATTCAGACACATTTTTCTGATATACCGAGTCAAACGGTTTTTGGCTCGTTCCGGAAAGGAAAAAAGGAGCACTACAACTGCATAATTAATTGAAATATATCGCTTACGAACAAACGGCGATAAACCGTTATTCAAGGGGGCTGTTATTTATTCATTATACTGATTTGTTCATAACTTGTTTTAGCATAAACCAAAAGAAGCACAAATCTAACTATACTCGTATTCTGTACATAGTACCTTTTATTATGTTGTGGAGTTATTTTAGGGTTTCCTTCAATCATGGTAGTTATTTGTTTGTCAATAGTTTCACTAAATTCTACTTTCTATTAGTTAATTTGGGCCAATTATCACATACTAAAACACTTTTTCATGCTCTATAGGTAGGTACTCTTATGGCTCTTAGGTAATCAGGTGTTCGTTCGCAAACTAATGCCATTAAACTAAAGCATGTTTAATCTTACGGCAAAGCAAGTTAGACTTCTTAAGCTATGTAATACTCCAAGATGCTTAGCACAAAAATACTGTAAAATACTATTCAATTATACAGGGTGTTTCTCGGCGAACTGCACCAATGGATATTCCTGATTGATTGTTTTACGACAGATTAAAGTAGATAGAAACCTCGCGATTCCAAATCGAACACCCTGCGTATTATTGCAACTTATGGTATGGATGTTTTAAAATTCATATAAATAAATAGTAATAAACAAGTATTAATAAAATTGTCCCTCTCCATAATGATCAGTTGATAAACCCGATTCAATGGATTTCAAATTAATCAAATTGTATCAGAAATGTTAATCGAATACAGATTGTTCATTAAATACAAGGTGAAGTTTATAAATTAAACTGAGCTTTGTTTTCGAGGCTCTATCGACTGAAAGCAAATTTTTCATTTGAAACTTGATGAATTCAGTATTTTCACGTCACGGCGGCTTTAAGAGCCGAAAGACTCACCAGCTTCAAAGAATGACCGGAAAAGGCTCTTTGGATTCGCTAAGATTGAGCAAAATTGGAGCATTGAAACACTTTATATAGAAAATCGAGACATTTGTCTGTTTATTATGACAAAAAAACGCGTTTCCTAATCAGCTACAAAATGGGTTCTGTTTGAAAGTATTAAATTCTCCGGGAAATAGACACTTTGATTTCACCCTGCAGTTTCGAAACAAACGTGAATATTTCGGAGAATGTTGATTTGTTTAAGTAAAACCTTACATCATTATTTGCTGGGATCTTAAAACACATCAACGTTTGCTATAATATGCAGGATGTACGACGTAAGTTTTATTGATTGGCTTTGAAAACATATAAAGATACTCTGTATAAGACAATCTGCCATGTGAAAAACATCTAGTAGTTTTGGTAATGTGATGTATATAAATAATATGATGCATACATGTTACATATATAGCAAGCAACGAACTTCGGCATTTGAAAATATTAAAATATTGATAAGGACCAAAGGTATAGCTATGCTGAAGCGCAACTTTGTCTATAGAACGTTAGTAGGAAAACAGGCTGTTAGTAATTGCATATCAAAAACGACAAAAGTTTTCATGGACATGTACAGCAATGGATCTACACAATACCCAAACCAAAGTAACCTACAACCGCTTAGTGCTAATGGTATGAACCCAAAGCCAATAATATGCAAAAGCTACTCAGTATAGTGAGATAAAATCAAAAGGTCCAAACCTATGATTACGTCATTGACTGCATATCCAGGGAACACCGACAATGCCATGGAACAGAACAGTAAATAGTCAACGACGGGAATCTTGGTACTTGATTGTTATATTTATGGATTTTCCAAACGGCAGCGTACATTCACATGGTGTTTGCGATCACATCATAGTGCCTACTTAACTTTGAATTTAACAATTTTTTTAAATGATTTAAATTATTCAACCATGTAGGCACTATAAAGTATCGTGTTTCAGAGCTTCCCTGTATGGGACAATGTGTATTAATGATCAACATTCATGAAGCGTGAACAAGATGTGTGATTAGTGGTACCCATCAGGTGCTTTCGTGTCTAGAAAATAGACTTTAAAACACCCGCTGAGCAACACACAAGTTAATTTGTAATAAGAATAATATAAAAGCGAGGACATGAAGAAAAATGAACGTTTAAATGAAGAAAAATGAGCGTATCGCTTTATATTTTCTTTACTGGCACATAAAATACTTAAGATCTAAGTAATTTTTTTGGTTACTCAACTCGGATCGAGTTTCAGCTTCTTCTACCTGAAGAACTAGAATAATCAGTTTGAGCGGCTACATATTCTATAGTGGAGGAGTTTTTGGTAGCATAAAGTACATTTAGCTTTATTAGTTAGTATCGGCCCGTCGCTTGGTGTGCGTGCAAAATTTTGTTGCTAAATGTTGAACTTTAGTAGTTTCTCTATCCCAAATGTGTTCAAAAACTGCGAAACATTCGCAAGATTAATTTCAAAAGTGTTGCAAGTAAATGCATCTTTCGTTCTGTGTTTTAATTCTAACACAGGCACTATTTGCAGATACGTCCCGTTTTACGCAGCTGTAAATCACCCAGGAAAAGTGATGCAAAAGTAACGCAAATTAAAATCAAGTTCAAATACCGTTTAAAAAGTCCAGGACTGCACGTTTTAGCAGTTATTGAATTTAATTAAACAAACCACACTCTCGTTGTTAATAAAGCGAATGCACCGTTTCGTGCATGCTAAATTGCACTAGTCAGTAATGAAAAGCTCCTCCATTAAATTATCAAGCACACCAATATTCCAAACAAATCACATCAATAATACCTGTTGTTAAAGCAGGCGTCCACTCCTGCTCGCCTGTGGCGCCCCACAGAAACGTAAGACTTTTCGTAGAATGTTTAATCGTAGTCGAGCTACTAGATCCAGGATTTTGGCTTTGCCGCTTCTTGCAATCTGCAACAGCCACTTTGCAACGGAATTTTACCCCAGCATCAAACACTCACAGTCCTGCAAAGCAGCCGAAGCCACCAATGACTTGTTCTGCTGCTGACCGTTTTGCGATTCGCATTGTCGATTATCGTCGTTTAGAGGATCAGGCTGTGCGGGAACAGCCTGGTAGTGGTGCTGTTGGATGAGAACCCCTGTGGGTCCTTTGGGGAATATGTGAGTCCATCGGCGGCGGTTTGATGTTAATTTAATCGTCACGTGTGATGGATCAAAGGGGTTTATTAACGCTCTAGACTCGTGAGGTGGAGATCCTTCGGAACCCACTACCATTCTTACTGGCGGGGAAAATTCCTTGTCTGCAAAGGGAATGTGTTTTTCTGGTGAAGTGTTTTCGATCAGGCTCAGGCAATTTTTAGACAACGGTTATAGTAGAAGATGTCTCAAAAGTGTGTTTATTTGAAACGACCAGGATAGCCGATGGTTAAACCATTCGTCGATGTTGTAACACAGAAGCGTTTAATAAACTTAGAGACTTTTGAGCCTCGCATTTTTAAAGAAGTTATTTCAGTCGTGTATCTATCCAATCCCGAAAACACCAACTCAAAAAATGTATGTGCCTTGGTTAAAGAACTGAAAAACGATGTTAGCAACTCTTTTCTTTATAATGAATTGCGCTAGATCGTGTAGCCAGTAGTACCTACATTTTAATTTGCAGTCCACTACTGGACCGTGGCTGAGCCAATTCTGCTGACTAATTGAGTTTTAACGAATAAAATAAAATTACCTTCAGTATGAGGTGAAATAAGTAAGTTGTTGGTTGCTGAAGGAATAGCGATTGGCTCGGAGCGTCTGTTGTCAGTTTTAAGCAGGGTAATATCAGGATCAGACATCTTCCTTCTGCCTTTGGATTCTTGCGATTCTAGCAAACTTCCCGAGCTCCTTTTGTGCCTAGTCGGCAATCTAGTGTGAATTGATCTGAAACATCGTCCAATCGTATGGGCCTTAATTTTCGTCTTTTGGCTCAACTTACGACGATTCTTGTACATGATAGGCGCTGGGCAACTGAAAAACTGCGGCATCATAGCCGTCATAATCGAAGAATGTGTTGTGGATGGACTCATCTTCAGACAGAAGCTCTCTTTTTGAAGTTTCCTTGGCTTTCTCGATTTCTTCGTCGGTGAGCGGTGGAGGCAGTTTGATTCTGGGCACAAAGTTCGAATAGGGCATTTTTTTGTTGGTAGAATAAAAGGACAGATTAATCCAGTGGGGCATGGAATAGTCATCCGGTACGTTTACGTGAGTGTCTTTATTGTGAAACTTTAGTAGAGGAACGGCATGTAAAGGCTGTTCGCCAACGCAGACTAAGTCGCTGCCCACACCTCCATCTATAATCCTTTGCTTCGTGATGTTAGTCAATTCCCGATCCACCTCAAAAACGCCCACCCCCGGAGTAACTACAACGCTCAATTGTCCGGTTCTATCAAAACTTCTATCCAGATAGTGCTTTTCAAATACTGAAACCGTATAAACGCAATGGCGAGTGTTTTATCGGTAAAGTTTGCCAATTTACCGTTGAGGGACATGTTGAGGACTTCCAGGAAATTTCCCTGGGCGGCAGTGCTATTAGAGGCTGCTGGTATAGTGATGTTAGGTCTGGCATGGTACTTCAGGACAATTTTTAAGTATTCCTGGAATAATTTACGCAGCTGCACCAGAATATTACTCCAATCGTCGTACCTTTCGTTTTGAACTGGAACCCTATAAAAAGGAAAATAACTTGATTTTGATATTCAGTCGGATATCGCCAGAGGCTCGGATAAGTGAAGATGCACGCTACACTTGCGTGAAATCATGAGCAAGAAAGGTTTTTTCCACGGTGGCCTAAAAGCGCGACATTGACCAGCTTCAAGCAATGACCGCGAAACCCAAACTCTTTACGATTGTTTCGTACCTACATGTGTTTAATCTCTGAATAACTTTCGCTAAACACAAAGGTTTTTGAGGACAATTTAAACATGTGATCGACTGAACGAACGAGCTTCTTTAAACAGCGTCTCGTTCACTAGAAGTTCGTGTGCAACCAAGTGTAGCACTATTCGCTTGTAATAAAACCCAAAAGCTCGGTAATTCTCATTGGTTAATTGAAAAATATCTGTAATAACTATTTATCGGCACGATGTATGGTTTGCACTTACCTATAAAAATCTTCATAATATCGGCCTCTATAATCCCGTTGCAAACACTCTCTCATATGGTGGGGAAACTCTTCCAAACTGAGTGCTTCGTAGAATGTTCTTGAAAACAACACTATGGTGACTTCGTGGTTGCTTCCATTCTTTTTCCACTTCATGAACAAATCCGATAAGAAACCGTTTACAGCCTTTTCAAAATAGAGATCACCGTAGATATCAAAGTCCCACATTTCCGAGGACATTTGTAAGAATATATAAACCATGGCAGTGGAGGAACGGAAGACGATTTTTGTATCATTCGTGATCACTCCGCAGGCAACTCTTTCGCCTTGCGCCCACATTTCGTGGACTTGGCAGCGCACAACTCCGCTACAAAATTCCAGCTTTTTATTTGTGTAGACGCAGCTGTTGACCTAAAACAGCAATCTTCCTGTTCATCCGCAATCTTCTTTGTTGGAAGTACCGTACCAGACTATTTTTCAATCTCCACATTTCTGAGCGCCCCATGTACTGATCCCTAAAAGTTAGTTCGATGGACTCCAAAACGACATCATCGGGAATCACCAGACGGACTGTAACATATTTGTACGTTTGCAGCCCGAACGCTGCAGCAATACTTTGCTCAACGCTGATTGTTCTGGTTGCCTGCAGCAAATCGTCTTTAAAAGACGTGATTTGCAGCAGGAGGCGTGGATATTCTTCTTCAATTTCGCTCTTTTTCCGACCCTCTTCAGCCGGGGTTTGATGGTAGATTTCCACGATGTCGTTTAGGCAGGCTTCCGGATAGTCTTTGTGGCTTATAACAAGGTCATCCTCTAGATATATTAATTTATCAAACGTTATATTGGTCTCTAAAGTTAATGTAGGATCAAAGTAAAAGTGTGCAAATTTTTTGTCATCAGTTCACGACACTTTCAACATGTTCCATTTAAGAATAAACGGTTCCATAAAGTATTTTATCTCAAAATTTAAGGTATTTGGGAAGAATGAATTTCCTCAAAATTAACATTTTGAATTCATAACTCCCTTTTATATAGAAAATAATACATTCTACAACTTACAATGCTGTTAAATAACAGAACAAGAGAAATAAGAAAAATTAATCATGCTGTGGTAGAGAAAAGGAGCTAAATATACAGGATGCCTCAGAACTAAGTACCGTAAATTCAGGGGAAAATAGACTTGGCCAAATCTGAATAAAATCCAAATATACACGGGTTCGTAAAAGTTGAGTTTTCGAAGTACAAAGTGTCAAATTTTACTTTGAAAAACACAAAAATATAAATATCTGCAAAAAAAGTTTGATCAATTTTAATAAAACTTTGTGGTAAAAGGTGCTTATTTTCAATTGATACATTTTATAAATTTTTAATATTGACGTGCATACCGTTATGTTATTGGCTATTTTTTAAGAAAAAAATGGTACTGGACTGATTTTCTGAAGAAAAAATATCTCATAAACGATTGTTCAATTCTGAAGAAGGAAGCACTCTTTTGCTTCTATCGTACCACCTATAGTTTTCCGGAAAAAAAAAACTTTTTTTAAGAAATAAATAATTTAAGAATTAGCTACCTACATTTATAAAAGACTTAATGTGGATTTATCATAGTTGTTTGAAAATTATCGATATCAATACACTTCCAAGCCCTATTGAGCAGCGCCAGTGAAATATTTTACAGTTTACCCCTAGATTATTTTAATCATAAAAATTTTTTTTACCGGAAAACGGTTGCTCGTGCGACAAACATAAAAGAGTTGTTTTTTCTTCAGTATTCAACAGTGAATTAAGATGTATTTTTATTCTTCAAGAAACCAGTGGTGGGAGATTTTTTCCTTAAATTATCCAATAACATAAGGGTATTAACGTCAAATAAGCACCTCCGCCTACAGCCTTCAGTACCCACAAAGTTTGATTAAAATTTATAAAACAGATTTTCACAAAAGTGCATAAAGTAAAGTTTGACGCCCTGTAAGTATTTTGAAATCGAAGCTTTTGCGGCCGCATGTATACTTGGATTTTTTCCATATTTGAAGAAGGTCTATCTACCCCTGAATTTGCAGTCCTTATTTCTGATACTCCCTGTATGTTGTAGTTGATGGTTCAACAATATTGTACCAAAGATACATAAATGAAAACAATAAAAACCTAAAAATACGTAGTATTTTTTGGACGGAAGATATCAAGCTAAGATACATTATTTTATTATTATTCCAATATTTCGAACATAGAAAAATAATTTATCTGAAGCAATTGAAGCCGAAAGAGTTCATACTGATCGTACTCGTAACAGAAGAGAGCACGGAAAAATAAACCAATAGCAAAATTGGGAAAATGCGTCTCCGACATAAAAACAGTCACTCTGATAAACAATATAAATTAGTTAAAAACCGGAGTAATCAAAATGAGAAACATTTTCAAAAAATATTTTTTTATTTCCTTATAATGAAACCGACGAGTTTCACGAACTTCTGCTGCAAAAAATCTAAGACGGCAGCAGCTCTCTTTGTTCAGTCCGATATTAAATATCAACAGATAGATAGATATTAAATGGCTTCATGGCGCGTAAATTGCAAACAAAAAGTTAAATGGGATTAAATCGTTCTATGGGCTCAACAATTTTACATAGTTCTTAATTGTATGAATTTCGACGACAACTACCGATGGCTACGGTAAAGAGTCTTTCCGTGTGATTAAACCATCAAAAGCGTTCAGTATTGTTTGTCTAAACAACGAGGATATTTTTAGTAATTTATGCAAATAAGTTCTCAAACAACGAAAGATTCGACTAGCATCGCTTACTATTTTCTTTTTGAAAAACCAAACTTGCTGAATTAAATATCAACAGAAAGAAACCAAATTACACTCAAATCCCCGATAATAACAAATATCATTAAATAAGTATATCAATAAAAATAAGACACCACTCTACCTTCTTGTGGCAAACTGTTCGCAACTTAACAAATGTATTTTTTACTTTGAATATAAATACACAATATAAAACACATAAAAACTGATGATGGTGGAAAAATACACCGAAACGTATTTTGATTGATAAATAGAGACAAGAAATGACTGAAACCCAGGAATGAATTTGATTTGGAATTGAAACACAGTCAGGAAAGTATATACAATGAATATAAATACACTTATAACATTTTTTTAGAAAGGGTTGGCTGTCCTCCTTAGATCTTTACCAAAGAGCACGCAACTTCGAATGCGAGAGCATTCGAAACCAGAAAATTACCCTAAATTAATTTATAAGTAATATACTCAGTATCCTTTAAATACATTTTTTTGCCGCGCAATGCCATTCTGATTAACATGTTCCAAATATGTTGGCTAAATTAGTACACATATTTACTTACCGCAGAATGTTTTCTGGTGAGCAATGAGCCTGAATGACTTCATGATGGCTCACTTAACACTTGCTGCCAAATCGTTATTAAAATTATTAGCTGTCCTCGAAAAAAAACAAGAAACTATTTTTTTCAGGATCTCAGAACTGGTTTGAAACATTGAATCGTTCAATGAACGATTATACGAACTAATTTGTTGTCTAGTTGAGGCAGTTGTTGATTAAGAACTATTTAACTAAATGCGATAAGAAACAGATAATAATGGTTATCAAGCATTTTTCCCATCAAGAATAGCAATATCTAAATAATTAAACAGCTATCTTCAAGAATCAAATTTTATCAACTAGGTCGAAAAAACTTTACAAAAAAATTGTTTGCGATATTGTAGAAATACTCTGCGACTCTGGCAGACAATGATAATATTTAAAGAAAGCACAATATTAACCGACTTATAATAATTTCACGTTCAAAATACAGCTAATTTACTTAAAACAACTAATAATAAGGGAAAGTTTGTGCAAGAATAAGATTAAATTCATGGATTTTCAAACAATCTGACATAACCTCAATAAAATTGATGTCAAACGCCAAACGTTTGAGCTAGGGATGACACGAAATACTTGTCACAGGTATTTTGGAACAGATATCGATATGGAACAGTCGGGACCTGTTATAGATATTTAAAATAACATGTGTTGGAAATAACAGGGCTCGCCTACGATGCTGGTAGGGCTATTTACCTAGTCTGGACATGTTTCAATATTTGTTTATATTAAACATAGCGGAAGTATTGAATGGCCAATTTTCAATTAAGTGGTAAGATGAATTGTAATCAGTGATTAGCATGAAAATAGAAGATAGGCAAACTTTTTTCACATGTTACTGCCCTTAAGTGGGAAAGGTAAAAAATGTGGTCACATTTTTTTGTGTTCAAATAAAATTTTGATAAAATGGTAAAACGTTACTCATAATAATGTTATGACTTTTTTTTTAACATCAGCCCTTGCATACTAAGGATAACAAGAAATACTTGTCACAGGTATTTTGGAACAGATATCGATCAGGAACAGTCGGTACCTGTGACCGATATTTAAAATAACATGTGTTTTGAAATAACAGCTGTTAGCCCTAGGGCTCGCCTACGATGCTGCTCAGTAACAGTCAACATCTGGGATTTCGATATTTCAACAAAGCAAAAAGGCAAATACCTGCCTTTATGCCTTTTGATTCCCCGCGGCGTTGTCAATTGGCCTGAGTTTTAGTGAAAGGAGATATTTTATTCTCGTTAAGTGGTAAGGTTTTGTATGTATGGGAGTGGGACGTGCACCATGATTCGGCAAATAGCAATATTCAATGAACAGAAAATATCGGGAATAGTAACAGAACAGGGAACAGTGCCAGCTTGTCTTTATCTATGAGTGACAGTAACAGCCGTCTCCGATATTTTCTTTAAAGTTTCGATAAAATGGTAAAACGTTATTCATAAAAAGTGTTATGACTTTTTTTTGACCATCAGCCCTTGCATACATAAAGGAACAAAGGGCATTCGGTCTTCGGTCATAATTTATTGCTGGCCCAGCAAAATCGCACCCGAATTACTAGGAAGTGGCGTGGATTCCTTCAATGGAACAATTAGTGCAGTCAGATTAGATTAGATTTTTTTCGGGCACTAAATAGATGAAAGTAAAATTTTTTATAATTAATTTGGTTTTGTTTCAAAAAATCTCACTACAACTTTTTTTGAAGGCGTTTGTATACTTTATAAGTTATAAATTTTAGGTCCAAAAATTCATAACTTTCTTTTCATTCCTATTTGTTTTGTAAAAAGGACTCTTGCCAGATTCTAAATACATTTTTCTTGAGACGTCGGAGAGACTTCTCTGAGGCTGTATTTTACTGGTAAAGAGTTATACTACAACGTACAGTAAATGAAAGTTTCATTTCTGACTGACCAAAAAAAGTTATGGTACCATTTCGTGAAACAAAACTAAATTAATTATTGAAAATTAACAAAACGCTGAAATCGGCTTTTTTTTTATTTTTGAGTAAGCTAATGAACGGATTTTAATGTAGTTTATCTGATATCATAGGTATTTTTAATACTTTTTTTCAATAGCATCAACGGTTCAACAATTATGCACAAAAAACGGGCTTTCGCCCTTTCTTTAATTATTTATAAATAATTGTTTATAAACAATGTTCCACAGCCGGAAATCGAGCACAAACTATAGTCTCAATATTCTGACATCCTTCCGAACAACTT